TAGTAACGCATAATATAGTAACGCTTTAGTCGCATTGTGTCCGGAAGGTGATAAAACAATACATTTTCGGTTGTTCGTCACTCATACGGTGATATTTGAAAGCGTTGCTTTACTCAGTAAAGTAACGAACGCATCAGTAAAGAAAATGTGCCACCCCTAGATCAAATATCAGTCATATAATACGTGAGAAAGGAACAAGTTAGAAAAGGAAAACGTAACAGAGAAAGCAGAACTTCGCCACTAGAGTATCGAATAACAATCTAGGCTAAAGAATCCTGTAATAGAATCCTATAGGATTTTTGCAAGATTTTTGTAGGATGCTACAGGATTTCTTAAACCAATATTTTCTACTGCATTCTACCATAAAAGTTTGTAAAATTTTGCAGGATTCTACAATAGGACTTTATAGGATCTTGTAGAATCCTAGTGGATTATTTTACCTGGGAAATCGGACAAACAATTTATGTTTTGAAAATACAATTTGTTTTACAATCTGCAAGAAAACGGAATTTATATCATATACATTTTGAAATTTAGCATCACAATTTTTTTTATTTTTATATAATGTGGAATAATATAGAAGATTTTTATTGAGCTTTTACGAGGCCAGAGTCACACATTGTTAACATCAAACACGTGGTTGTACGCTCAAACTTTTTATAATCCCACTAGCGATCATATTCGCAAGCATATGAACGTCTAAAATTCATGCGTGTTCAGTAATGAGTTCTCAAGTTTCACTCATAATTACGCAAGAAAAATGTCATAAAAAATTTTTCATGAACAATTTATGGGTTGTCACAAGTGGAAAACTTTTCTTTATGTGTAGCCGGTCACAAGAAGGATACTTACACACCATTTCATGATGTTCACGTGCATCCGTATGTCGTTTTACCATATTCATGGATGTATACTCTGTATCTACTAAGATCTTTCTATTAGCCATTGAACAAGAAACAAATAACTGTACATAAATTAATCAATTTGTTTTCAGATTAATTAATTAATTCAGATTTAATGTTCAATTGTATTTTTAATTTTTTGTTTCACCAATTTCACAGGATAACCATTTGTCATTAGACATTGTTCACGATGGCTTGTATGGTTCAATTAACAGTTTTTTAGATGAACAAATTCAAATCGTATGTATATCATCACATACAACACATGTTTCATAACACATGGCTAAGACATGTAGATTCGTAAACTGAAGTTACCAGTTGACCGGCGGCCATTTCTCAAAAACCTATCTAGTTTTTTGTGGAGGATCATAGAGCCCTAATTCACACATGGTTAGATTCGTCAGAAAACAAGCTTCAAAGCTATGATGAGCTTTTCCCGAAATCATTTTCGTTCTCGAGTTATTCGCCTTTTACTGAGCACTATATTAAGTCCTCTTTGCAAGTTTTAGTCGAAATGGAGATATAAGAACGCTCTAGAGATTAAAAATCACGGAGAATACGATGGAGTTACTCGCGAGAACTTCAAAAGATTTCTGGAAGGTCTTCAGTGGGTTTCAGCTGGTTGTCTTAGAGGATTTGAAGCGGAAAGTGTCCGCTGATTTGGTCTTCTGACTGGATGCTTTGCAGACTTAGTTATCACTTCTGCTCTCGGCAGAGCTTTTTCAAGAAAGATCAGTTTTTCCGGTTTTGGACATGTTCTCAGCGAGAAAACGTTTTCCAGAGGCGGGGACGTGATATTCGAACTCGATGCTGAATTCTCTATCGAATGACGTAAAAAAACGACCACATGTGCATGGACTATTTTCACGGCACGATTATTCTCAACTAGAAACAAAGTGGATATTTTAAAGTCACAGTAGAAAGCATAGTGAATTTTTCTGTCTGCATGATGGAAAGTACGCTGGATTTTAATTTATCACGGTGGATTACAGTGAAACGTCCGCCTGTCCGCCGTGTCATTAAAATCCGTAATCCTCAGCTCTGAAATTCACTTTTTTCTCAGAATCTTTGTTCAACCCGGAGCAAATCCGCTTTCAAAATATGATCAAGATTCGGTCAAATAAGAATCTTAAAACTTCTGTTGGACATCTTGATCATGTAAAATTTTACAGAATTACACAGAATATATCGGTGCAACTAGCGACAATATCTCATTAAAAACGATATTCGTCGCATTAGTTTATTCAACGTCTGATAATCTTGTTTCACAAGTTTTCTAGACTTTTATGTGGACAACAAGGAAAAGTAGCTCCATAGATCGTATAAAATAACGCCCTACACTACAATGGCCTACAAGGCATTCATACATTTTTCTATCTGTGAATGCTACAAACCTCGCAAAATTTCACGTTGATAGTAGAGATATATAGATAAAATTGATGGATGCTTTGACTATATAGAAGTAGAGCGACGCCGCCATGTTGCTAAGCTGTTAACCTCTATATATCATCTTCATATTCACATGATCGCTCAGCTAGGAGGAGGAAGTTGAATTGCTGCATTTTTCTGGAAAAACTATTAGAAAACAAAAACTGATGTTAACTTACAGACATGAAATATTTTAGTTTATTATGTTTCATGAAGGTCGTAACGTTGCCAATACGCAGCGTAATGGAGACCAGTGGCTGAACTGCAGAAAAACGCTGTAGTTGATCGAATGTATATTTTTAACGTGTATGATATTTTTGAATTTTATTTAAGAAAAGAAAAGTATAATGGCTGATGGTAGGTGGTTTTTGGACAATAATCCTAACATATTCAGACACAAACGACTAAAGATTTGTTGAGATACTTTGGGAAGTACTGAGGAGTATAGATTGATATAAATGTGTTTTTATGAAATAGTCAGTGCAGGAGGAGAGCGTGAAACGGACTTTCATTCGAACAGAAGCGTATGGTCGGATTTGTTTGACCTCTTTCAAGTCATTTTATATATTTTCTCAATTTTGTCGTGTCTAGATCCAGACATTATTATTGCTAGTTCAAAAGCTACAGCCCCGTCTACTACCACTACTTCTGTTCCTACTGTCCAATCGAAAGCGTCAAAATGGTCTATTGATCCATCCACGATAGAAAAATACAATTGGTTGGTACATGTAATGTATGCTCGCGGAGAATTTGAGCCGTGTAAACAATTTATTCGTAATCAACAAACAAAAACTTATAATTTATGTGAATACATGACCTATGTTCAAGCACTCATCTATCGACAAGAAGGAAGCATTAATGAAGCTTTAGATCTATTTCAAACTTGTGTACTCATGAGTCCAACTGTCAGCAATATTAAACAAGTAGGAAAATCATTAGCATTACTTGGTACGTAATATCAAAAGTTTGTTCTACGAACAGCTTTTTGAGTTCTTTTACGTTTAGGCCGTTATCGTGCCGCCATCGATGCGTATAAAGAAGCAGCAACGCGATCAAATGAGCAAGATTGGGAAGTATTACATAATTTGGGGCTGTGTCACATGAACATGCAGGAATATCTTGCAGCTAAACAAATCCTTCAACAAGCCATTAACGTGTCAGATCAAGAATCATCTTATTTGGCTTTAGGCAAAATATATCAATTGGAGGGTGACAAGGATGAGGCTGAAAAGATTTATGAAAAAGGAGCAAAAAAGAATCTCGAGTCTCCACACCTATCCACAAGATTAGGACTTATGGCATTTGAAGTAAGTGTTATCCGACTACAGAGCATTTTTCTTAAACAAGTAGGATAAACGATTTTATAAGATGCATGCAGTAATTTACTAGTTACCGTAGTCAACGTATCTGATGCAAGTACTTGATTACTTGCCGAGTACTTTGGGAGTATCTAACAAGTTTTCTCACGTAGGAAGTACTTGAACAAGAACTTGCCAAGTGCTTTTACTTTTCAAGTTCTTATCTAAGTATCATCACCTGATTCGCTTCAGCCAAGCACTTAGACGAGTCAATCACTCTTTTGTTTTGAATTGACAAGTTGTATATAAACGCCACAATATCAGTCAGTCAAACTGAAAAAATAAATTTAGATAGCAGTTTAGCGCAAGTACTTGGAACTTAAGTAATGAGGACAGCGCTTATGGACTTTTCCGAGTAAATTTATTTGTTTAGTACTTGTCCAAGCACTTGATGGACTCAATACAAGCAAATTTAGGTGTAAAACTTCAGACACGTACTTGTTCCATTTGTCTTTATTTTGTATTTTGTATGTATTCTGCAGCCATACTCTACTTGTGTAGAGCAGACATATGCATGGCTACCAGATTTTGTTTAACTCAGTAGGAATATCCAAATTTGTTTTCTAAGTTTACACTGGTTAATATTGTGACGTTTATATATACAACTTGTCAAAGCAAAAACAAAAGAGTGATTGACTCGTTCAAGTGCCTGGCTGAAGCGAATCAAGTATAAAACATGTTTCTAACTGATCTTTGATTTATAAGGTGAATAACTTCAAAACAGATAAACATGCTAATAATGCTTCTCAGTTCACTTCCATTCGACGACAGAGAGAGAAGGTGAAGTGAGCGTCAGAGGTTTTGCTCTTTGCGGTGGTTTTGCTATTTTAATCCAAACATTCGAAAATTTGAAAGTTCTTCATGTCGTTAAATACTTATTCCTTTTGTTTCTTCTTATTTTAGAATAAGAATTATCAGAAAGCATTTGAATGTTTTGGCAATGCTCTCACATTTAGCCCCACATATATTCCAGCCATTATGGCTGCATGTCAAGTCATCCAGAAACATGGTGATTGTGATGTTGCTTTATCCAAATACCGTATTATTTATGCCAAAAAACCGGAAAGTCCACAACTGTGGAATAATGTTGGAATGTGTTTTTTTTCGAAGAAAAAATATGTGGCTGCTGTTAGTTGTTTGAAACGTGCAAATTATTTGGCACCATTTGAACTTTATGTATTATACAATTTAGCTCTCGTACACATTCATTTGCAACAATATGCATCTTCAAGCATATTTTTACAATCGGCACTAAGAATTGATAAAAAACATGCACAAT